AGAAATAAATTGTGAAGCGGCCGGAATTAAGGAGTTCGATTTTAGTAATAATCCCAACTTGGAAACAATTAATATCAAGGGAAATGGTGTTGAGGCGGACCTAAGCATTTTTTCCAACTTGCCGAAACTACGAAGACTAGAAATCGGAATTAATGCGACATGGAGTATAGGGACAAGTAATAATTTTTCTGGCTCCTTGGCTAGTTTAAAAAACTGTGAAAATTTGGAATATTTGGATATTTCTTACCAGAACGAAATCACCGGGAACCTATTAGAAGACTTAATAGTTCCCATGCCCAAATTAACTGAATTTTATTGTGCGGGAACTGAATTTGATGAACTTTTGCGACCCTCTGGTTATAACACGAACGATTTAAGATTACTCTACCAGCAAAGCATCGACAAAAAATTACAACTAGAACGAGAACGTCAAAAAGAAAAGCAAAACCATTTTAAAAAAATTCTCCTTTATAGTTTTGGCTTGTTTCTGTTGGTCTGTTTAATAGTGAGTTTGCTAGTGCATTTCAGCAAAAAAAAAAAAAAAAAAAAAAAAAATCGCACACACACAACTTCTAGTGATAGCAAAATTATTTAAAAGATATTCAAATTATTTTTTATTTACGCGGTCTTTTCCGGGGTCGAGTGCCATTAAAAGCCACCGGGGTTTTATCAGTTAATTTTCGAACTTGTAACGACTTGGCTTCGAGAATTTTTTTAATAACCGTGTCGCGACCGGTACCCGGATTCCGCACTTGTAGTTCGATTTCTTTAATTCCGTAATCACTAGCCTTTTTAATGATTTCCTCAGCCACTCTTTCGGCTATTCCAGCTGTGGCTTTTCGGGTTCCGCGTTCTCCGAGACTACCAGCACTAACTTGACACAACACTTCCCCATTTTCCTTACTTAAATTAAGAATAGTATTATTGAAACTAAAATAACCATTGATAATTCCTCTTCCCTCCGGAATTTTTTTGATTTTAACTTTTTTTGACGGCGGGGATTTTTTTTCTACCATAAATTATTATTATTTTTTAAACGCTTTTTCAACTACTTTATATTTTCCGGGTAATTTATAACTGGCTGCCGTAAGTGCCTGATAAGAAATATCTTGAGGTAAACCTTTGACTTCAAAAACAACTCTCAATTTTTTCGCTACGGCTACTCAGTGCTTTATTGCTCCGTAGCCCGAACCCATTCTTTCCAGTGATTTTCCGGTTTTTCCTAAGTGGGGGAAAATATTCGCTTTCATTTGCCCGGCTTTGGATTTTTTTAAGAATTTACTAATTACTTTGCGAGCCGCTTCAATTTGGTGGTTATAAATATAGTTGCCTTGTTGGGCTTGTAAGCCGAATTCTCCCCATTTAACTTGTTGGTTGCCTTTGGTTAGTCCTTCGTATTTTCACGAGTGGTTATAACGATATTTGGTTTTTTTGGGTATTAACATGCTTATTATTTTTATGTTTTTAGGATTTGGTTGCTTCCGAGCAACTCTTAATTTAAAATTTTTCCTCGGCAGAAAAACGTTTTTTGCGGCTTTATAATTGTTTGCTTTGATTGTATTTTAGCAAAGAGTTTCGAGGAATATTGTTTTATTTATTATGAGATTTTTTCTGATTAGTATCAGTAATTCAAACTGAAAAAAATTAGCATTAATTTTACTGAATGTTAAACTTTTTAACCTTTTTTTTCCGGTGAGTTTTTTCTTTTTTAGGCTTTGAATTTGCGAAGTAGCAAAAAAA